CCAACTGTCTTATGAATTCCAGACCCATATTTCTAACTGCTAACCAGACAGATCCATCTAGAAATCCCACAAGCACTTCAAATTCCACAAGGTCAAACTATAACATCCCTGTATGTATACTGGTGCTCATACATTCCAGACTCTCACAATGTATTTTCAAATGAATAATAGCACTCCGTTTCTACTCTTACTTTACTTTCCAAACCCACCCCAAACATTACCTCTTCTGGGAGCCCTCCATGATCTGCCCTGGTAGAATAATCTTCTATTCTCTCCATATTCTCATTGTACTTAGCACACACCTTTAACACTACATTTACCCGCATTGTATAATTTGTCAATTTTTTAAATAATGGATTAGGTATCTTTCTCTCCCGCTATGCCATAAACCTCTAGGACAGATGTTCTGTTTTCTTGTTGCTGTCTCAATTTGGAAAACATTAAAATAAAATTATTTTTTACAGTGAAATTCTCTTTCAGTAGGTCTGAGATGAGGCTGGATCATCTCTCATTTTAAAAATAGTTGCAAATGGCTCTGATATTCTTCGATGGCTACAAATCACTGAATTAAGCAAATATCTAGATAGGTTATCAATACAACAATAAACGTTTACAATGAATTCTTAAGGTGTAAGTAAGTATATAATCTTTATATAAGGCAAATATCTGGTATATGATTCTAATGATGTCTGGTGATGGGAACAATTTCCTGAGTGGTAATACATCAAATCACTCATTTTGTGTTTCAACCTATACACATTAAAACCATTCTGAATATTGTTAGTTAAGATGAATATGTATTGACGTGGAAAGATGGAATCATGAACTGAAAAATGGTTACAGGGTCTCCCTGGTGGAGCAAGGGTTAAGGGTCAGCACTATGAAGCAATCTGCAGCTACTGAAGCACAAGTTCAATCCCCGACCAGGGAGGCGACCCACATGGCACAGCAGACCTCTCCTGTCTCGCCCGCTGATCCCCTCAGCAGTGTATTTCAGTGGATCTGCCTGTTCTGCTCCTCACTCTGCCACTGGTGAATCCTCACACTCCCTGCATCTCTGGCCTGCATCCCAACTCTTATATGCATAAATAAAGCTTTACAAAAAATAAAATGATAAAGGGTTACAAAACAACCTATACAAAATACATTATTTTATTTATTTATTTATTTAAGAAGATTTATTTATTTATTTATTTATACAAGCACTGGGTACAGTCAGAGCGCGGGAGGGTGAGAGACTTCACCAGAGCCAGAGCGGGGAGCAGAGCAGGCAGAAGGACCGAGGTACACTGCTGAGGGGAGCAGCAGGTGGCAGGAGAGGTCTGCGCGCCATGTGGGACCCTCCTCCAGTGGCCAGGGAGCAGCCAGGAATCGAACCAGCGCTGCAGAGGCTGCGGGCAGCTTTGCAACCCAGCGCTCTACCGCTGCACCACCGGGGAGGTCCAAAATACATGTATTTTAGTAGCAACTATGTAAGATGCATATATGTATGTACAGAAAAAACTATCTGGAAAGATATACACTGAGTTGTTAATACTAGTAATCTCTGCTGGTGGAAATGAGGTGGTTTCTTATGTTTTTTTCTGTACATCCATCTTTCATAATGCACATAAAAATTTCCATGTAAAACTGTAAGAATCACATATAGTAGGATGGCTAAATGAAAAATCATATGTGTGTAAGATTACATATATACATATACACACACACACACACACACACACACACATACACCCTCTAACAGAATTTGTAGCAATATAGAAAGGAAGAGAATTAAAACCAGTGTAATGCCTATATGTATCAAGCAGTGTACTAGATGCTGGGATTATCAACAGAACGATTGGTCAAGTCTGGACAAGTTAAACCACACACTAATGGTAATTCAATAAGCAAACTATAGAGCTGGGGTTCAAACCCAGATTTTTTGATTCTAAAATAATATTTATTCCATTTCATCTTTGTGTCTCATATCCAATATCTGAACAAAACAAGTAATCAAAGTTTCTCTACTGCCCTACCTACCTATATTATTCCATACTATGAATTACCATAATCACTACCATGGATACTGTTTTTCAGATATTCTTCATCAGTCAACCTAACCCTTATTACATTTGTTAATATCCTGGTCAATTAATCTGATAAAATAATTTATACCAAGGAATTAATGTATTAGCTATTGCACTGGATCTCCCAGTGCCATGTATATGCAGTCTATCATGCTAGGTATTGGGATGACAGAGTACACATTCAAATGGTGGATGAGGGTATTAGATACCCACAGTTAACTGTATTATGATCTAGTAAGTACTATAATAAAGATAATAACAAAACATTCATTATGACAGCATGAAGAAGTTAAGTGCTTAATCTCTCTGGGATGTCACAGAGAATTTAAAAGAAAAAAAAAATGGTGGGGCAGGGCAAATGAAGCAAACCACTGCCTTCCAAAAAAATACCTAGCAGTTAAGATTCTGTCTGACCCTTTCGAGGCAGCCTCCTGTAACCACATTGTCCTTTCACTGCTGCCACTTTCCATTGCTTGGTATCTCTGGATTTGCAGTAGTTCAGTAGAGGGAAATACTTTTAGGCAGCCCTTTCAGCAGACCTTAAAATAACATCCCTTAAAGCAACCACCTGCGGCCTATGCAGCCTCTCACATTAGTACCTGTCGTTCTCACTGAACTGCATCCCTGAGCAGCTCACGGTGACATGTTTAATGTAGCTGGGTTACCTGAGACTTGCAGAGATTAGGAAGCTGTCAGTAAAACATCCGGGAGGGCTTTGTGAACTGCTTTCTAAAATCACTCTAAATTAGCAATTAATGGAAATTTTTTGACAACTTGTTCAACACTGAGTACAGCTGGATAAAAATCAACCTCTGGAGAATTCAATTTTGTTTATCATTAATGCTAGAGTATATTTAACAAATGAATTTTTTCCCAGAGTAGTCACCTCAATTTATTTCAGTGGATATCCTTGATTAGTAAACACTCTCTCTCCCATTAAAAAAAAATGAGAAATTAACTCATTCCATACAGTAAAAGGGAGGAAAACAAATTTTTGAGTCAGCAATGTGCTTGAGGAGGAGTATGTGAATACGCAGTGGGAGATAAATGGAGCTAGCATTTTTTAATGCATAGTTATAAGTAACTAAGATTTTTTAGGCAATAATGATAGGTTATTTGTACACTGAGATTTGTATTCCCTGGTATATTTTAATTGCATTACATCTATGGGTTTTCTGCAGTGCTGACATGGCAACTTTTTCAATTATTTGACATCCACAGTTTATACAATTAATTGTACATCTGTAGATCACCTTGTCCCTGAACTGGGCAATATTTCAAAATATTTAAATTTCTGCATATAATATAAATTACATAGTTAATCAATTTAGTGTTTAAAAGGCAAGTCACGAGGTTTGGCACCAAAAATACATACCCTAGTGGAGAAAAGGGAACACTCAAACACTGTTGGCAGGAGTGTAGACTGGTCAAACACCCATGGAAAATAATATGGAGGTTTCTCAAGATATAAAAAATAGATACAGCATATGATTAAGCAATTCCACTCCTAAGTATCCAAATAATGCAGAAACACTAATACAAAGGGATATATGCACTCCTATGTTTACTGCAGTATTGTTTACAATAGCCAAGCTATGGAAACAACCTCTGTGCCCAAAGACAGATGAAAGGATTAGGAAGATGTATATATACACTATAAAATGCTATTAAGCAATGAAAAAAAGCAAACTCAACTTTTGCAACAACATGGATGGAACTAGAGGGGATTACGCTCGGTGAGTTAAGTCAAATGCAGAAAGACAAATAATGAATGGTGTCAATTATGTGTGGCATATAAGAAAGAAAGGGTGAAATAAAGCCAAACCAGTATCACACCCTTGAAATCTGATTGTACAATGGAGGCTACAGAAGGGGAAGGAGAGGGGGAGAGCAAATTGGGAAGAGCGTACAATGGACTCTGGTGGAGTCTGGGTGCCTTGGTGGAGTTTGTGGTGTGGCAACATACACATGAAAGGTGTGATCCTGTACCTCTGAATCATATGCAAGGTTGTAAACCAGTATTATTTCAATGAAGAAAAAAATACATATCCTAAAATATGAAAAAGTTAAGAATGAGTGATGAAGTTAAGGGCCAAGTCAGAGGACAAACCAGAGTAGAGATGCTCCTTCTATTTCTTTAAAATCCCACCCCCAGGCCTCCCTGGTGGTGCAAGAGGTTAAGCACCACACTATAAAGCAATCTGCAGCCTCTGCAGCACAAGTTCAATCCCTGGACAGCCAGGGACAAACCCACATGGCAAGGCAGACCTCTCCTGGCTCGCCCGCTGCTCCCTCAGGAATGTACTTCGGTCAATCTGCGTGTTCTGTTCCCCACTCTGTCTCTGGTGAACCCTCTCACCCACCCACCCACACCTCTGGCCTGTACCCCAGTTCTTGTATGCATAAATAAATCTTTAAAAATGAAATAAAATCCCACCCTGCATTGAAAGTGCCAATCAGTCTGAAAATGTTCCCATGTCCTAAAACAAAGCCAAAATACCATAAAATACCCTATAACCTACAGGAAGATAGGCAGTGAATGCTTCAGTGAACTTCTTGGATTAATGTTCAAGTTTTTAGCAAATACCTATTTTTAAGTAAAAATACAAACCACCCACCAAAAAAAAAAAAGATCTTCAAAATTAATTTCGGAAAGAATATATTTTAAGGAAGCCTACAAAATATTTACAGGATAGAATATTAAATTCCAGTGCCATCTAAAATTTATATATTTTTCTTTATCTTCTGGTAAAGAAAAAATATGTACGCAATTTTATGAATGGGTAAGTACCTGGATCACTACCATAGTGAAGCACTAGGTTTATGACTAGATAAAACAAATGGCAGACCTGTAAATCAGGACAAATTTTAAGGAAATGGGGTGGAATGAGTGGTCCAAAAACAACAGCATTCAAAATTATTTAACTGCACACTTTTATTTATGTATTTATATACTTATACATTTTTCATAGCCTTGAACTTTAGGTCTCCAGTGGCAAGTACATTCATTCAGTAAATATTTACTGACTACCTATGATTTTCTAGGCATTAGTGGAGAAATGAGAGAATATAAAAAAGGCAGTTATAATTTTTGCTCTCAAGACACACGCAACTGAGTTGGAGACACATATAAGCACACATTAAATTAAATATGTTTTACTGTTACTTAACAACTACATAAAACTGTTAAAACAATCTATGTAAACAAAAGCTTATTTTCCATATTTCTTAACTCACTTTTAGTGTTATTATATTACTTGGTTCAGATTTGCAACTGAACAGCATATAGTGCATGGCTACCAACGCAGCATATAAGTGCCAAAGCATTTAATAAAAAACAGACACACCACAATACTAGTCTGAGGTCAGCACAACCATCACAGGTTTTGAGGAAGGGTCACTCTTTCCTCACTTCCAATATTCTCACGTGGATAAGTACAACCTATTTTCCTAACAGAGTACAAATTGTATTTATCTGAGATGCAAATTACTTTTCAACAGAATCCCATTTATTTTGAATCTCCAGTTCATCACTTCAAAAACAAACTTCCTTAATAATTGTATATTATCTATATTACACTGCAGATTAAAACATTACTACTTTTTAGTAATATATTTATACTACTTTAAGAATCATTGAAATTCACAAAATAAAGTCTTATTAATTTGGAATTTAGAAAATAAGACCTTTTTCAGAAGGAGTGGGACTGGCTCAGTTTTCTTTTTTTTTCCTGTGACTTAAATGTTAAGCAGACTTTCAAATATAATATTTGGTATTGAGAACAGCAACAGCAAAAAAATATCCAGTTTATATACTGGATCAGTATACATTCTGCCCAGTTTGCCATACATTCTACATTTATACTTAGAATCCCTGCTTTGAATGATGGCACTGAAACTCTGTGCAAGATCCTTATACAGCAAACATTCAAATATATTCTACAGTCTTGATAGTACTAAGGCAAGAAGTGAAAAAAAAACAACAACAACACACATTCAGTTATCTAACAACAGCACATGAAAATGTAAATAAGGGTTAAAGGAGAAAAAAATAGATTTTCAGATTAATTCTGAACATTCAATCAGCGGAACACTTGCATTCCTAAAGTATGATGACCAGCTGAGGTTTTGGTACATGAAACAAGATTATAAGAGCAGTTTTTTAAAACAAAAGCAAGTTTTTTGAAAGCATGTTTAGCACCAACAACTTACAAACTATAAACACAAAGATTACAATTATCAAATGGAATGTTTTAAAACTTTGGTAATGCAGAACGTGTAATGTATGTTTGAATGTATAACATTGGAGCAATGCCATAAAACTGTAGTTAACTCTTCAGAACAGATATACCAAAACCTGTTTTAAAAATATTCTTCAAAAACCACACATCCGTAATGAAAAGCAACTAAGAACAATGTTGAATCAATACCGGTAATGAAAAAAACAAAATCTACATAACTGTAAATTGTAAACCATAAACTGCACAACATCAAAGAGAGAGAATATATGTAAATTACCCAGAGAGAATACAAATAAGAATTAGACAAAATTTTCTGTATGAGAATTCAAATATGGTATTGCAGTGTAGAAAATCTTAAAGTTTTGATTGTCCAAAGTCTCTCTCAGCCTAATACACTACACACAGGTAAGTTGGGCACAACCACCTGCAAAACAAAGCCAAATGAATTTAAAGCACAAACACAGCGTGAGGAAGTCTTATTAATAAGACTGGGAGGTAAGTCTTGGGCACTTTGAGAACACAGGGCCAGCCATCCTTAGCTCCACAGTCCTGCGTAGTTCCCGTGGAGGCCTGAAGGGAGAGGCCCTCCCGCCACAAAGAGCTTCATCTCAGGCCAGTTGTAGCAGTGGGTGTAGACCGCATTGGGGAACTCCTCGATGCCACCGAAGTAGTTCACCCACAGGTCATCATGGTTGAGCCAGCCTCTGCCACAGGTGAGCTTCAGCTTCCTCGTTACAGCCACAGCGGGAGGGCCCGGGTTGACTAAGACCCTCTCTTCCAGAAACTTCTGCGCGCGGATGTCGTAGAAGAGCAGGCAGCCGTCGCCGGTGCCTAAGGTGACGATGTGCTGGTAGAAGCTCAGAGACCGCACGTCGGTGCCACCCTCTCGGGAGCACAAGGGCCGGATATTCTGCAGCCCCTGGCGCAGATCTAGGAAGGAGAGGTGTGACTGGGACCCGATAGCGTAGAGGGACGGCTCATCACAGTAGGTCAGGCACACATTCTCTCTGCACTGGGGCAGCCTGAAGGACATCTGCCTGGTCAGGGTGTTGCCGGCTTTCCAGAGGTGGAAGAAGCCGTCCAGAGACACAGCTCCCAGCTCCTGGTTCTTGCCGCTGAAGGCCAGATCCCGCACCTTGCGGTTATTGGGGTTGTTGCTGGCCCTGGGGATGGTTTCAATGGCCCGGGGTCGGAGGTGGCCATACACCGGGAGCCCGGCGTCATCGTGCCAGGCGATTCTGCCAGTGACTATATCAGGATGTATCTGCCACAGCGCCACGGTGCCGTCGCGGGAGCCACTCACGACCACGGTGTCGCTCATCCAGGCGATGGCGAAGATCCAGTCCTTGTGGCCGTGGCGGTCGCCCAGGCACAGCGGGTCGAGCGTGGGCAGCTGGTAGACGGCCAGGCTGTTGGGGTTCTCGCCGCCGTGGCCAGCAGCGTCTTGGACGGGTTCAGCTCGATGGCGTGGATGCCGCAGCCCGGCTGCGCCCGGGCCAGCCCGGGGCCGCCGCGGTCGCGCATCAGGGGGATGCGCGTGAGCTGCCGCGACTGCACGTCCACCACGAAGAGCGTGTTGCACTTGGTGCCGCACACCACCTGCCTGGCGTTCAGCCACTGCGACGCGAACACCTTGTTGAGCGTGCCCAGGGCCAGCTCGCGCTCGCGCAGCAGCTCGGGCAGCCTCCGCACCGCGTAGCCGCGCAGCTGGCCCTCGAGGCCCGGCAGCCCGCCCGCCCGGCCCCGCGCGCCCACCTCGCGGCCCCGCAGGTAGTGCAGCAGCGAGCGTCGCGCCGCCGGCCGCCGCTGCTTCTTGCGCTGCAGCGGCCCCTCCGCGTCCGCCGCCGCCGCCGCCGCCGCGCCCGCCGCGCCCGCCGCCGCCGCCGCCGCGCCCTGCGACGACGACGAGCCCGCGGCCGCCGCCTCGACCGCCGGCGCTTTCCGCTTCCTGCTACCTGTTTGCTGCGGGGCCATGCTGGGCGCCGGCCGGGTGGGCGGTGGTGGCACCCGTGTAGGTGCCGAGGAGGATCGGGGCGCCTCCGTGTCTGCTGGGAGCGCTGGCTCTTAAGAGGCTACAGGAACAGCGGGGCGAGGGGTGTACCGAGGCCGGTGGCGGCGGCAGCTGAGGCGCTGAGGCGAGGAGCCTGGCGAGGCTGCTGCTGGCGGCGGCGGTGGCGTGCGCGGCCGGCAGGGCGGCGTGAGCGGCGGCCGTGTGAAACGAACCCTCCGCGAGGGCGCCGAGGATAAGGGGACTCGGCATGAGGGGGCGGATGCAGCGGGAGGCGTGGTGTCTAGGGTGCAGGAGCGCTGAGGCAGCGCCTGCAAGTGGGAGATGGGAGTGGGCTGAGGTGGGGACGGGGTGGGGGTGGGGGTGGGGAGTAATTGCTGGGAAACAGGAAGTTGGCAATGACTCCACGGGTGGGGGATCTACTGAGGGCCTGTGTTCCAGGACCCCTAAACTGGCCATGTGATTACTGAAATCACACTAAAGCGACCGGGGATATTTCGCCACTCTCAGGACAGCAGCCAACCTTTCTTCTGAAAATCCTTACTTAACACAAAATTTGAAATCTAAAATGTAGTCAAGCATGAGGCTAGAAGGAACCCTGGGGATTATCTGTATGAAGAAACATGTGCATGCGGTGGGCCCAGTTTACTAAGGGGGAGACACTGCTAAGATTAGCTGTTGAGTTTGCTGGGGGGTGGGGACGTTGGGCAGCTGCGAGGAGACCCTCCCACTTATGTTCCTTTTGCAGCTGCTGCTGTCTCAAACACTCTGCTGCTATCTTAAACAGCTTCAAAGGGTTTTTTTTTTTTTTCTCTTCAAACTGAAGTCTCTGGGCTACAGGACCAGAGGGGTGTGTTCCAAATGTAGATCCCTGGGAGCCATTTTCTGCCCAGTGTGAGGTACAGTACCCTGGTGCCACCTTTACAACATGGCGGACAGTGCACATGGCGGACGGGATTCATTGGGGCCACTGACTCCAATGTACTTCAGAGAATTAAAGAAGTGGAGAGGATGAACCAAGGAGTGCAGCACCTCCCTCAATGCACCTAGTTTCCGTCCTCATTCTCAATCCCAAAGTTCTAGGTCCCTGGCTAGAGATCCTGGAGCCTTGGTCAGGAGCCCTCAGAAAAGCAGCTCGCAAGCAGAAACAGACATAAAGAACTTTCTAGAAGGAAGCGACCACAGGTGCATAAACAGAATGTAAGCTTTCAGGCAGTGTCGTACACTATGCTGCTTCAGAGCAGCCAATCAGGTAGTACTAGTCTTATCTCCAGGCAGGCTAGTAAGTAATACCAACTGCACACATTCCTCTCCTCCGGATAAAGAGAATGTACTTTTCTAACCAATCAGGGGAGTCCATAGGTGCTACTTTGTTGTGATTTCCTCCAGACTTTGCCTGCCCTCTTGGCTGATTTCCCCACCCCCACACTTTTGGCAGTGTTATCTCACGTATACAAATTCCAAATACAAACCATGGTTCATTCCCACTACCCCAATCCAGCTGCTGGATTCCAATGCTCCCCAATACTCTCCTGCACCCCAGTTCTGATAGTTCACCATGTCACTCATGCCACAGTAACAGAAGAGGTTGCATGTGCTGGTGGTGGTGAATATGAAATTAGGGGACTTAGGGAAGCCTTCATGGAAGTGGCTTACTTTGTTCCCACAGGTGGGAGTGGGGGGACTGGACATTTCATGAAGAGGTAACCATATGTGAAAAGACACAGAGAATGGAGACAAGTGGTTTAGACATTTCAGTGTATATTAAAATCACAGGGGCAGCTTAATATGCATTTCCCTTTACCTTATCCCGAAAGATTGGATGCAGTCGTCTATGGACCACTCATCTACAAACACTGCTCTAAGTTCTCACCTAGGTCTAGGCAGAGTGTGTTACGGATAGGAAATTAAAATCTTCAGTGTGTACTTCAAGGTTTCCCTGAAAATGGACCCCTTACCCAGCAAAATATTATGAAAGCCTTGGCAGATAAAGAGGCTACGTTCTGACTGAGACTGAAGTAGATTGTGACCTAAAAGGAGAACTTATTCCTACTAGGTATTTAAAGCTTGTTATATTTTATATGACCTTATACTTTTACTATATTATACTAACAAGCATTGTTGCAGGAACAGTATAACTATTTTAATTATATTAATATAACAGTGGTAGATGCCAGTATTACAATCTCCATATTGTGGATGAGGAAACTGAGGCTTGGAGAGGTAACATTTTTGTCCCATGGCGATGATTAATAAGTGATGGATGCAGGATTTAAACCCATGGAGTCTGAATCCACATTCCATATTCTTATGCACTTCTCAGATTGAGAAGTTATTGAGTGAAAAGTGGTTGAATGTAAAATTCTGCTAGTGATAGAGATTTAAGCTTCATTTCTTTGCACCACCAAAAAATGTAGACTATGACTGTAGACATCTGTGCAAGTTGGGGATATCATGGGTAAATACACTAGCAGTCGTGAGAGATTCTGGGATTCAGTTTGTGATCGGTGATGAGGCTCATGAAAGAGGCAGCTCTCTAGTTCTTCCAGAACAGTGGTCAGCCAGCCTAGCAAGGACCAACATAACACCAGTCATCCTGTGGAAGAATTAACAATGGAGATAACTATAGCAAACAAAAAGAACTAAGGGCTACAATCCATCTCCTTTTTCTTGGAACTAAGTAAGCATCAAAACCCATTAATATCCCATAAAAAGGGGAAGGAACGCTTGAAATGATGATACTGAACTTCTACCATCCAGATTATATGGTTTGGACTCAAATGTAATGTGGTTTAGACAAACGAAGAAGTGTGCTGTATCTTTCTCCCATAATAGCCATTACACCCAGGGCTCAGAACAAGGAGCCGACTCGCTATCCTCTGAGGAACGTGGTACTACAAAGAGTAGAGTAGCATCCCCTTACACATTTAATATCATCCCCCAGCCATAACTTGATGCCCTATATCTACAGTAATGAAGAATGGGTAGCTGTCCAAAATATCATAGAGCTACAGGAAGTTCTGTGTGGGGTAAGTAGGCGGGAAAAACGTTAGGCTTGTCCGCCCTCCCCACTGTGCATGCGCACTCAGCCAAACGGCGCGGCGCCATGTGGCGTGGCGTGCGTGTGTGGGTGGCGTACCGTGGCGCTTTGCAGTGCAGTGTGCCCCCATTTGTCCTGATGCAGACCTCCTCACAGCGCCTCAATGCCCAATTGGACCTGGACCCAGGCAACACCCTCCATGGGTCTCAGAACTCTCTGTCCAGACACCCCTGAAGTCAGGTGTTTGTTGCTGATCCACAATCCTTACAGGGCTCTTCTTCAACCCAAGGGGATGAGAAGGCAGGACACAACCTGCAGACAATTCCCTGGAGCTCTGAGACTCCACACTCATCTCTGAGCAGAGCTCGTGCTGTGGGCACAAGGCTGTGACCCTGGGGCATGGTGATCAGCCCCACTATCTCTCTGGTTCTTGATCCTCCCTGTCTCTCCCAGCATCGCCTCCTGAGGGGAGGACACAGATGCTGAGTTGTCCAAATGATCTCAATGATGACCCGTGCCCCTCTCCGTCCTGCTATCTGGGGAGGAAGTCAGAACCACAGGGTTTGAAGGAGGAGAATAAAGATCTCAAGGTCCGAGAGTGAGATGGGGCATAGCTCACCCTGAGTCCTGTGGGGAAGAGCCCTGGGGGGAGGGAGGTTTTGGCCTCACTTCCCCTTTGTGTCACTGTGGCTCAACCATCTGAATTGCTCATACCACAGTATTACTCAGCCTCATCCTCAAGTTGTATGTTGGTGATGGTCAAGTAGCGGTCAGTCCCTGAGCTAGAGCCTGAGAAGCGATCGGGGGATCCCCTGCCCCTTGCCATGGCTTCCATCAGTTTTAATATACATCACATACCGCGGAGCCCTCCCTGACAGCTTTTGATAACAATGCCCCCAAAAACCACCATCTAGATTCACCCTGTTCTGACCAGAACTCGGCCCCAAAATCAAATCCATGACACCTGGCATCTCTGCCAGAGCATTGGCAAAAAAAGCGGGCAAGATATGGAATAGCTTAAGTGACAGTGAAAACCAGCCTCTCAAGGTGGCGACGCTTAAGGAAAAACATTAGAAGGATGTCGCTGACTGTAAATCAAAAGGTAAGTTTGATGGTGCCACGGATCCCACTAAAGTTGCCAGGAAAAAGGTGGAAGAGAAAGACGATGAAGATGATGAAGAGGAAGAATAGCAGAAGGAAGAAAGTGAATAAAAATGCTGTTTCTCTGTCAAAAAAATAAATTAAAAAATGAACTTCAGAGTGAAGAAGATTACTAGAGACAAAGAGAGTCATTGCATAAAACAAGAAGGATCAATTCACCAGGAAGACATTATAATCTAAATGTTTAAGTGCCAAACAGGAGACTCCATAATCAACTTGGATTTATTCCAGGTATGCAAGGTTGGTCCCACATTTGAAAATCAGCATAAGTCACTATGTCAAAAGTATGAAGAAGAAAAACCATAGGATTATATCAACTGATTCAGCAAAAGCATTTGACAAAATGCACTTCCCATGCATGGTGAACACTTTCAGCAAACTAGAATAGAGGGAAACTTTCTGTATATAGTAAAGAACATATACAGAAACCTACAACAAACATCCTATTTAGAGGTGAGAAACTAGATGCTTTACCTTAAAGATCAAGAACAAGACAAGGGTTTCTGCTTTCACCACTTTTATCCAATGTAGTCTTAGAATTTCTATCTGGCCTAAAAAGGCAAGAAAAAGAAATAAAAGGTCTACAGGAAATAAAGCAATAAAACACTCCATATTTGCAGATTCACTAATGGCTTATATAAAAGTCTAAGAAATACACAGAAGGGCCTCTCCTGGTGGCGCATGTGGTTGAGCGCAGCACTGTGAAGCTGTCCGCAGCCTCTGCAGCGCCGGTTCGATCCTGGCCGGCTGGCGAGGGTCCCACATGGTGCAGCAGACCTCTCCTGTCTCGCCCGCTGCTCCCCTCAGCAGTGTATTTCATCAGTCTGCCTGTTCTGTTCCCCGCTCTATCTCTGGTGAATCTTCTCACCCTCCCGCGAACCTGGTCTGTATCCCG